AATTTTGAATACAATAATAAAAACAAAAAGTGCTTAATAATTTTCAAACCTAGGATTAGAACACAAAATGAGTAATTATTCATCTTTGTGGTATCTGAAGAAATACTAAACTGGATATTCCCTATGCACGTGTGATTGCAATGTCTCATAACTGAAAATTGGTTTAACACTTAACGAAATGGATAGTATTACTTGTGACCAAGTGTAATTTTATGCGCAAAATGTTTTATCAATTATGATGTTGAGGCTTTCAACCATAGCCATTTCTATTATAAAGATAAGAAGGTTCATACTGTGATATAAATCATATTTAATATAGGTATTAGTATTATATTAACAAAATACAACTGTTTCAGGCTTCTCGTCCAATAAGTACAGCAAGCACTTAGGAAATGTATAAGAAAAAGGAGATGTAACTTTCAATGATCCCCTGCCTGACTAACTATGGTAAGGTTGTAGAATCTGAAAAATTGACACAACATATAAGTCATGTCTCAAAGATGGAATTGTAAAGCCAGTCAAATATTCTCCCTGTAGATAAATTTCAAAGTATATTTATCATACTATCTTTAATCTTGAAAATTATATAAAGATGATAAATTAGATTTGTGATGCTAAAAAGCATGGATTAGTTAAACAATTCATCTTTTCTTGGACATGAAGTCAAAGATATTTGCCTTGGCACATTCACAATGAGCCACATGTTGATCACTTTGTTCAAACTACATCCTTATTATGGACAATAAAAGGAACCAGCACTGTGTAATTAATAAGTTTATAGTATAGTGCGACAATCTATTAACTTCACCCAATTAATAAAATTGGGAGAACCCTATGTGCTGTCATCACAAAAAAAAATTGAGCCTGGGCAATGGCGGTGCATGCTCTTAATCTCAACACTCTGGAGACATTGGCTAGTGGATCTCTGAGTTTGAAGCAAGCCCGGTATACAGAGCAAGTTCCAGGACAGCCAGGGCTACACCGAGAAACTTTGTCTTGAAAACCAAAACTGAGAAACAAGTTGAAAATTTACAAATTTTCACAGTTATCTCTCTTTTATCCACTTCTGTATTCCATTGTTTAAATGAGAGGTTCTTTTTCTTATCCCGGCTGCTACCATGGTCTTTGAGCCCCAAATAAACACAGGATGCTATATTAATTATAAAACTGTTGACTCTGCCGCGCAGTGGTGGCACATGCCTTTAATCCTAGCACTCGGGAGGCAGAGGCAGGCAGATCTCTATGAGTTTGAGGCCAGGCTGGACCGACAGCATCCAAAACAATACAGAGAAACCCTGTCTCGTAAAACAAAAAAAAAAAAAAAAAAAAAAAAAAAAAAAGCTGTTGACTTGTGCCTTAGGCTTCTTATTATCTAGTTCTGTCTTAATTATTAACCCATTTCTATTAATCTAAATATCTCCACGTGTCTTATATTACTAAGAACAGTCCAGGCCTCTAACTAATTTGGCAGCTCATATATTGTCACTTGCTTAAAGGATTCTGAGGAAGATTTTTATCAAATCAAAAATTTCAGAAGTTTTGGTGCTGCTTTTGCTACAAAACTTAAGTCCAAATGGATCAAAGACACCAACATAAATCAAGCCACACTGAACCTCTTCAAAGATAAAGTGGGAGGTACCCTTGCCAACAAATTGATACAGGGGTGAGGTGCCCATGCCACAAGCAGGTCCGAGGTATCAGGAAAAGAAAGACCAGATGTCCAGCTGTTTGAAATAAGAAGTGTCTTTATTTTGCAAGTGCTAAGAGATCTCTCTTTTGTAGGAGGGAGCAGTCTTATATATAGTCTTATACAACACAGTAGAAAACCCCAGTTGGAAGAGGGTATGTTTTCCTCCTGCTACATATTGATGTCAGTGGGGCAATGCAGGGGCAGTAAGCCAGGCCTAGAAAACAGGATGCACCTGTGGCTATCAGCTGACAAACAACTCAGCGACCCTGTGGGGGCTAGGCCCCAATACAGGAGACCTCATCTTGAACATAACACCAATAGCACAGACACTGAGGTTAACAATTAATACATGGGGTTATGAAACTGAGAAACTTCTGTAAGGCAAAGGGCACAGTTAACAAGACAAAAAGGCAGCCCACAGAATGGGAAAAGATATTCACAAGCCCCACATCTGATGAGGGCTGATCTCTGAAATTTAAAAAGGACACATGAAGCAAGGCTCCAAAATACTAAAGGATCCAATTAAAAAGTGGGTTGCAGAACTAAATAGAGAATTCTTAATAGATGAGTCTAAAATGGCTGAGAGGTACTTGAGAAAGTGTTCAATGTCCCTAGCTATCAGGGAAATGAAAATTACAACAACTCTGAGATGCCATCTTACTCCTGTCAGAATGGCTTAAATCAAAAATTCCTGTGACAGTTTATGTTGGCCGGGAAGTGATGTGGAGAAAGGGGAACACTCCTCCACTGCTGGTGGGCGTGCCAACTCCTACAGCCACTTTGGAAATCAGTATGGACATTCCTCAAGAAAATGGGAATCAGCCTACCACAAGACTCAGGAATTCCACTGTTAGGCATATATCCAAAAGATACACATTTGTATAGCAACATCTGTACTTCTATGTTCATAGCAGCTTTATTTGTAATAACCAGAATCTGGAAGCAACCTAGATGGCCCTCAACTGAAGAGTTGATAGAAAAAATATGGTACATTTACACAATGGAGTACTATTTAGTGGGAAAAAAACACAATGGAATCTTGCAATTTGCATGCAAATGGATGGCACTAGAAGAAACCATTCTGAGTGAGGTAACCCAGTCACAAAAAGACAAACATGGGATGTACTCATCCATATATGGATTTTAGACATGAATCAGGGAAGTGCCAGCTTTAAAATATTTTTAAGTTGTCATATAACATGGAAAATCCTTGAGTGAAAAACTGTGCTTTGATAATTCATTTCATTTTCAATCAATATCTCCCAATGCCTGCAAAAATGATGCTACAGATATTGAAACAATGGTATAAGAACGTCATGCCAGCAAATTTAATAAATTACATGGAAATGTACAAATGCCTGTAAAATCATAAAGTTAATAAAAATGATAGAAGAAAAATGGAATGGAAAATCCAAGTAGTCCTGTATGTACTAAAGAATTTATAAGTAATAACAAATTTTAAAAAATCTTCAGTATTGAACGAACACATTTAAGAATAAATATTGAACATATAAAAAAGAAATAATATGGATCATATTTAAATACTCAGAAAATGGATTCCAGTTCCTTAAGACTGTCACCCCACAGCAGGGCAAATATATAAATATATCATGAGAATTAAAATTATATGATTTGGCTGGCAAATGGCTCAGCAGGTAATATCACACATGCCCCCAATCCTAACTACCAAGTTCATTAACCTGGATGCATGTATGAGGAAGAGGATCTAATTTCCAAAATCTGTGCTCTGAACCAAAATGTTTCAGTGACATGTATGCTCACAAACATGCACACATGAAATAAATAAAAAATAAAAATAAAATTGTAGACCATATTCACTCTAGAACATAATCACAAAATCCTTAATAAAATATAGCAAGTAAATCCATGTAAGATTCTTTTCAATCATATATTGTCCATTAAAATTCAATTAATGCATTTTCACATTAATAAAATTAGATGAGACAAAAAGTCATGTGATCTCAATGCATACATTAAGAACTTGAAAATTATTCTGCATATAATGTCAAAATCATCAACAAATAAAAACGAATGTCTTCAAGTGGATAGATAGAGTATGCTAATGTTCTGTGCTAAACTGTTGATAACTGATAACATCTGGGCAAGGTACACATTCAGCTGTGTACCAAAGGTGATTTCTCAGTCTATGATAGACAGTTTCAAACCCATAGTCACATAGAGGATCCTGTTTAAATCAGGGCGTCCCAAACAAACAACAGTATGGCTAAGGGATATGTAAGGAGGAGGGTAGATAACAGGAGTGTGTATGTCAGAGAGAGTGTGAGGGCAATGGAAATAAACAGAATGCATTATATCCATGTATGAAATTGCCAAACAAATATAATCAACATATGCATGTTTGTGATCCACTAAATAGATCTTGTAAGTATGTTATTCTTCATAACAAAACCTTAAAAATTTTACCCACACATCGAAAACACAGCAAAAATATTGATTCCTTCTGATATTCAACATTTTACTAGGTCCTGAGAAAAGAAATGGAAGGCAGTAAACAAAATGAGTCAATACCCTTCTCTCTAGAAGTGTACATGCTTTAACAAAGTATAAAAATGCCTTTAAATAAAACAGTTCAAGTGGACCTTGAGAGCTTGTTTGGAGGTTCTAGCAGGGGAGCGCAGCTACTCGTATACCCTTGACCGAAGACCGGTCCTCCTCTATTCGGGGAAGGTCTTCCTCTTCGACCGAGCACGCAGCTTTGGGAGGGACGCACATGGAGTGGTGAGGGAGGAAGGGGACACCCGCCTAGCCAGCCTGGGAATCCAGCATGGGACTGATCAAGACCACCTGAATCTGGGTGTCAGTGAGGAGGCCTAGGTAATCTATTGAGCCTTGGGCAGCAGATCAGTACCCATCCCAAGTATACACACGGACTTTGGACTCCCATAGAACAATGTGAGGTGCACTCTCACCCTGAACTCTTGGGGAAGGGTCTAGGCCCTGCCCTATATGAAATGACAGACTATGGACACCCCCATGGAGGGCCTCACCCTCCCTGGGGGAATGAGGGGATAAGGGGGGGGGGAGGGAAGGGGGGAGGGCACGGGAGGAGGGGAGGGAAAGGAAGAGGGGCCTGGAACTGACTTGTGAAGCAACCTTGTTTCTTATCTAAATTTTAAAAAAAAGAATTAAAAAAATGGCTATAGAAAAAAAATAAAATCTTTCTGAGAAAAAAAACAGTTCAATTATGACTAGTATATTGAATGCATTGCCATGTTGTAATATATGTTTCTGCAAAGTTAATATATGTGAAATCCTAATTAAAAGAGTAATGGATTTAGAAGGTAGTGCTTTGTCAGATGATGAAATCATGACAACAGCTAAGGAAATGGGTTTACTGCTCTATCAAAAGAGAACCAAAAGTGACCCCCCCACCTTTTCCAATGCACGAGGACACAATAAAAGGCATTTTATAGGAGTAAAAAAGCTGGGCCTTATCAAACAGTAAATTTGTCATTGCCTTGCCCTTGAAATCTAAATTCCAAACTTGCAGAAATAAATGTTTGTAGCTATAAGCAACCTAGTTTAAAGTAGTCCTCTATGGTGTCCCAGACCAAGACAGGTGTCACCTGGATACATTGCTCATTACCATATGAATTGTATATAATTATATCCCAAACTAATGAATGTATCCAAATTCTGGATCACAAAATTACTGATGGGTGCTGAGAAATATTAAACAGATTCTATAGTAACAAGCCTTTAGAAGAATATGTATATTATTTATATTCTATTGTGGGATGGGGGCTTCCATCTGCATCCATTTCTCTTTGAAAGCTCTCTTCTCAATAATGCACTGACTCTGTTAAAAAAAAAGAGATATCAGAATGTAGGCCCTGAGAAAATACACACATCCCTGAACATGCCCTTGTGGGATGCAAAGCTCAAATTACCATATAGTGCAATCAAGCCTACATTGAATATGCTCCTACCTCTCTAAGGTTGACCACAAAACATTTTGGAATCTGATTGACATAGAAGTCAAGATAACAATGCACAACACATTGAGTGTCAAACACTGTCCATTTAAATGTTCTTCTTTCAAAGCATAATGCCCAGGGGCAGGGGAATGGGTTGCGATATGGCCTAAGCAGCATGCAAGGTTGGCGAGTTGAAATGGAGGATGTGCATACAGCTGTGATCAGTTTGCCAAGTGGACTTGAGACATGGTCATTCTTTGCTGTATATGATGGGCATGCTGGTTCTCAGGTTGCCAAGTACTGCTGTGAGCATTTGTTAGATCACATCACCAATAACCAGGATTTTAAAGGCTCTGCAGGAGCACCTTCTGTGGAAAATGTAAAGAACGGGATCAGGACAGGTTTTCTGGAGATTGATGAACACATGAGAGTTATGTCAGAGAAGAAACATGGTGCAGATAGAAGTGGGTCAACAGCTGTGGGGGTCTTAATTTCCCCCCAACATGCCTACTTCATTAACTGTGGAGACTCGAGAGGTTTGCTTTGTAGAAACAGGAAAGTTCATTTCTTCACACAAGACCACAAACCAAGTAACCTGCTGGAAAAAGAATGAATTCAGAATGCAGGGGGCTCTGTGATGATTCAGCGTGTAAATGGCTCTCTGGCTGTGTCAAGGGCCCTTGGGGATTTCGATTACAAATGTGTCCATGGAAAAGGTCCCACAGAGCAGCTCGTCTCACCAGAGTCGGAAGTCCATGATATTGAAAGGTCTGAAGAGGACGATCAGTTCATTATTCTTGCGTGTGATGGTATCTGGGATGTCATGGGAAACGAAGAGCTCTGTGACTTTGTGAGATCCAGACTTGAAGTCACTGATGACCTTGAGAAAGTTTGCAATGAAGTAGTCGACACCTGTTTGTATAAGGGAAGTCGAGACAACATGAGTGTTATTTTGATCTGTTTTCCCAATGCACCTAAAGTCTCAGCGGAAGCCGTGAAGAAGGAGGCAGAGCTGGACAAGTACCTGGAATGCAGAGTAGAAGAAATCATAAAGAAGCAGGGGGAAGGCGTCCCAGACTTAGTCCACGTGATGCACACATTAGCGAGCGAGAACATCCCCAGCCTCCCACCCGGGGGTGAATTGGCAAGCAAGTGGAATGTAATTGAAGCCGTTTACAATAGACTGAATCCTTACAAAAATGATGACACTGATTCTACATCAACTGATGACATGTGGTAAAACGGATCATCTAGCCATGGATTCACCTTCGCCTCCAGGAGAGTGCAGCTCAACCTTGCCGAACCTGTTCACGTCCATCATCGACTTTAAGGAAGGGGTACGACATGGGTGAGGGACTACACCAGAGAGCTTCAGCGGTGGAACAGCTAGGCCAGAACGGATTTCTTTTTTTAATTGTAAATTTGAAACTTATGTAAACGTGATTTCAAACCATAATTCATGTTGTAAATCAGACTCCAGCAATTTTTGTTGTATGATTTTGGTTTTTTGTAAAGTGTAATTGTCCTTGTACAAAGTGCTCATATTTAATTATGAACTGCTTTAAAATCACTATCAATGATAAAGGAAATGTTTGGCTTGTTGTGTGACACAACAGATGTAGTCATGCTGTGTTTGGACTTGGGGTTGGGATAGGGGAAGCAGCAGCCACATAGCTAGATGCTCATGTGCACATGATTATGAAGAATTCCAAAATCTACAAAGCTGAACATCCAGGGAGTTATGGAAAACTGTCTTTGTGTTCTGGCTAGGGCCTGGCTTGTTAACGCAGCCATTCCTTCTTACCTGTCTCTAGGATGTCCTCTCCTTGCAGCCGAGAGTATTGCAGGTGATACCATATATTCATGAGAGTATCAATTTTGGGCTAAAATGCCTTGATTCTTTGCACCTCTTTATGAGCCCTTACATTCAGTTACTAACTGGTAAGCAGCTGCTTCCTACACAGTAGGAGACTGCCATTTTTTTCCTATCATGATTGGCTGGGCCTGCTGCTGTTCCTAGTAAGATATTCTGAATTCCATTTTATCAATAAAGCTTGGTTTAACAAACAAGAAATTTAATCATGTATGTGTAGTTCTTCTTACCCGGGCTTTCAAAACCCCGTGCTATTGTAAATGGACCATTCCTCCTAGGGAAAGGTGTTAGTCTCCTTAAATTGGATGATGGTGTTATGCCAGGTGCAGATGGATCGAAAGATCGGAGTCTGTGTTGTCCTCACTTGTTTTTAAAATGAGTTTCTTTCAGGCTGCTTACTTCTCAGTAAGATGTGCATCGGCTTGAATTTACCTACTGTTAAAAGAATTGTCAAAGTTTGGCAGTCCTAACACTATGATAGATGTGTGTGTGTTGAATGTGTGTTTGCCTGTAACTTTTAATTGACCCATGTCTTTAGAATCTAAGAGGTTAAGATGTATTAGTGATTTGAAATATAGCATGTTGATAATATTTATCTGTTGGCCTTTAAAAATAAATTTCAAAGCTTAAGGAATTGTAGATATAAAACACCTAATTTAATTTAGGCTTAAACCCCTGATGAAGCATGTAAGAGTAAGTTTAATAGTCTGTCACATTATAAAGACTACTGTGGTGTACCTGTCTGTATTTTTGTCTCTTTAGGTTGAGTGCTGTATTTATCAACATGCCCTTGACTGGGCTAGCAGTCAGGTTCCACACTAGGAAACAATTCCAATACGTTAAATACAAAGTGACAGCTTTGTGTACAACAGTTAGTATATAATACATTCTGTTCTATTTATTTTTTCCAAACGTGGAATTAGTCATGTTTGTGTATACAGCCTTAAAGCCACTGTAATGCTAAGGGCATAGTAGGAAAGCACTGTGAGTGTCTGAAGACGTCAGTACCTACAATACCAGCGGACTTTTGATTATGCCTCTTGTGAGGTGACTAAATGTAACTTAATTGTATTTAATTTATATCTTAGTCCAGCATGAATGAAGAAAAGCTGAAATACTAATTATATTTACAAATTCATAACAGCTGCAATTACAGAACCAGTTCCAAACTTAACAATAAATGCTTAATGTCTAAATCTGAAAAAAAATGTTCTTCCTTCCACAAAAGTATTATTTTAGGAGTTTCTTTGTAAAACCTAGGGGTTGAAAGGTTTCTGCAGCCAACTCTGGTGAGACACCTCCTTTCTCTTTAAGTTGTTTGGTTATAATTTCATGTTTCCTCTCTTGTATCCTGAGACCATAGCATTACAATCAAGGCTACACAGGAAAATGATGAATACGTTTTTTTTTCCAAACTGAGGTCATTCAAATCAGACCATCTCATTAAGCTTGTATATAAATAAATTACAGTGGAAGATCACAGATGCTTTGACATAAAACCTAGATGGGCTATGTTCCATTTACTCAAGAAGGCTGCAAAAAGGAAATGTGCTTGGAGAGATAATCAATAGCAACTTCTCTGTGGTGCTGCACACCACGGTTTAAGAAGTACTTTATTAGGAAGAACTTTCATGGTCTTTACACTCTGAATATGTAAACTATCAATTTGATTACTTACTTCAATTTTTCCTTGTTTACATTTTTGTCCATTTGCTTAGTAGTTTTGTTTTGTTGTTATTGTACTATGGTTGTTCTTTGTTTTCAATAGGGTCTCAGAATGTAGCCCTGGGTGGCATAGAATTCCAGATCTGCATGCCCCTTTTCCTGAGTGCTAGGTTAGTGACATTTATCATCACTGCTTACTTCTTGGTTGGTTTTATTTGTTTGTTTGTTCGTTTGTAACCAGGGTCCATTTGGTCCTGGCTAGCCTGGGTCTTTCTATATATCTAAGAATGACCTTGACTCCTGATCCTCCTCTTTGCACCTCCCATAAACTAAAATTGCTGGCGTACATCATCACACCTTGTCTTGACTCTTTTAACTAAAAACCAAAAAATTCAAGATTCTTCATCAGCCTTTATAGTCACACCTCTATGTACTGATCCTTAATACAGCTTCTTATTCATAAAATGACATAAAATAAAAGAAAAATGGGCAGAAGTAAAGGAGGGAGAAAATCAGGCAGGATTGAAAAAGGAAATATGTTTACTGACTTGATTTGGTTACAGAAATTATCAAACTCTTTTATAACTTGTCTTGGTCATGGTATCTATTCAAGGCAATAGAAAAGTAACTAAGATGATGACAAACATTTATTGCATGCTTACTACAAAAATTCATGATTTTTATTTTAAAAATAATTCCCAAATACATAAATTGAAGGCTTTATATTTTCCCTAATAAAAAGAAAATATTTTCTATATTTTCCACTTCCTCTGCTTATCTGTTTTAAGACAGAAATACATGCAGATTTCCATGCATGTCCCAAGGACACGCTTGAGAACTCAGGCAAGACTAAAGACTAGTCTCCTGTCCTCAAAATCCTGTTATTGCTCTCAAGTATATGAAATAACACAGAAGAGTGTGAACATACACCAGGATAGGTTTTAGCACTCATCCTCTCTTAAATTTACTCATGAGCCCCTTGCTGTCTAGGTTATAAAAGCTAGAAAACACTACTTTGCAACCTTCTGCCTTAACTATTGACTCCCACCCACTAAATTTTATTGATTCAACTACTAGACTTCTTTGAAGGACTTGGCCCATTTGTTCTGTATTCTATGATGTACCTAGCATGCTTATGTGGAGAAAATAGTTGGGGTCCCTGTGTCATAAAACAAGACATACCTTCCTGACCTTACCACTGGAGACTCATCCTGGCCAGTCCCATGCTATATTTCCAACATTAAAAACCAATGTTTGGCATGTGCTATTCTGAATTACGTGTTGACATACTCCCTCATTATCAGATCTCAATCCTTACTACTTTGGTTTCCATCAGCCCCTCAGGAATTTAAGGTGTGTCCATGCTTCAATTGCTGATACCTTTCCTTCCCTTACTTATTTCAAATATTGAGAGACTGGACATTCAAGGAGCCTTAAATAATCTTGATACATATCAAACACTTGATAGACTGTGCATAAGTCAGGAGCACATTTATCATACGCTTAGTGAATATGTGCTAAGCATCATACAATCCTTATAGTTCCACTACATGATGTCTTCTTCTTCTTCTTCTTCTTCTTCTTCTTCTTCTTCTTCTTCTTCTTCTTCTTCTTCTTCTTCTTCTTCTTCTTCTTCTTCTTCTTCTTCTTCTTCTTCTTCTTCTTGTCCTCTTCCTCGTCTTCTTTCTTCTCCTCCTCCTTCTTCTTCCTGAAACAAAATCCTCAAATTACTTTGGCTTATTTCTTTCCTACTTCTTTCCCTCCCTTACACCATCTTCTGCACTCCCTAATCCTTTTGTCAAACTCTCTTACTGCCCCTTTCTTACCCTCTTGATGTTTATTTCCCGCTACTGCTCTTCCTGTTCCAACTTTATGTTTCCCATACATCTTTCCCACTTATGTAATTCTTTTTATTCAGTTAATTCTGACTTCAACTACCCCATCTGACCACCCAATTGCCTTATTTTACAGAAGCTGTAATGACGTCAAGTTTATTAAATTATAGTCTTTTATATCCTAGAGCAGTAAACATCATGTGACACAGTTAGCTGCCTCCACATTCAATGTATCTCATTTGCTTTGCTTCTATAACATTAGATACATATTAGAATTTCTGCTATCTTATTGACCATTCCTTCCTGGACTCTTAGGGCTCTTTTTATTTTAACCCCAATCCCATAATGTGTAAATGTCACAGGTATCAGTTCTTGATTGATTCTTTTTTTCTACCCTTCCTTGTAGGTATGATTTGATTTCATTTCATCTCTTAAATTTTTGGATTCCAGATTGCAATAACATGGATTTAGGTCTTACTATTTTAATGTATTTTAAAAGTGTGTGTGTGTGTGTGTGTGTGTGTGTGTGTGTGTGTGTTTGTGTATGTGTGTTGAGAGACCTCTGGCTGATGTCTGGAGTCTTCTTTGATCACCCAATACTTAATTAATTGAGGTATGTTTCCTCAATTGAGGCCAGATTTCACCAATACACCTTTTACACCAAGCCAGCTTGTCCCAGGTATCCCATATCCACTTCCCAATGCTGAAATTGTAGGTAGGCTAAATTTCTCCACCAAAACATTATTTATGGCCTCTAATCTTTCTCTGCCTGTACCTACAGCAGCACAGAATTGTCCATGTGTGTCTTCTGAGAGCTGTCTTTGCCTGAATACAGACAGGAAATGGTACATCTGTTTGAGGTTTTGCCCCTTTTGGTTAAATACCACATGCATTTTATGATTCTTTTCCAGGGTTTGATTTAATTTTATGTTTCTTTTGTTGATAATTTGTTGGTGATGATTTTTATGTTGTTGTTTTTAAGAAGTTCTGGTTATCCATAATACTAAACTTGTTTTACACATGACTCTTTAGTGGCTTTCTCTACTTATTCCTTCTTTTCCTAGATTTTACCCTCCAAATTAATCAAATTTAATTCATGTCTGAGGACTTATTTGATATACTACATAACAAATGCACCCTAATATAAAAATTACATGTTCCATCAAGTAATTTCATCTTCATTGTATTTCTAATGTGTACTGTAAATTTAAATGCTCCAGACTGAACTCCTGATCCTTTATAACTTGGGAATTTTAACTATGTCTATTGCCTTCCTAATTTCAGAGAAAAGCAATCATCTTTATACCAGTCTCGAGGAATCATTGTCTGCTCATCATTTCTTCACAGCTTAAAAGATGACTACTCCAATTATGCTGTTCTAGGTCTTGCTGCTATACTTATCACTTTATATGATATCTTACAGTCTATCAACATGTGTAAGTTTGATAATATCTTCCATAACATAAGTTCCATGAAGGAGTGGTTCTCTGTCACTCTGTAATCACTACTGGACACAGATTTCACCAGCAACCAGAATATACTCAGATCAGTGTAAATTTTGGATGACAACAACAAAAAATATAAATAATGAGTTGTTGAGTCAGTCTTTTAAACAAGTTGCAATACTCTCAATATAACAGTGAATTGCTCTGTGTAGTAGTACTTTAAGAAGAATCTGATGTTAGTCATATATATGTACTT